TATGTATTTTTTTGAGAGAGAGAGAGAGAGAAAGAGCGTGATCAGGGGAAGGGGCAGAAGAGAGGGAGACACAGATCGGAAGCAGATTCCAGGCGCTGAGCTGTCAGCACAGAGCCTGATGCGGGGCTCTAACCCACGAGCTGCGAGATCACGACCTGAGCTGAAGTCGGACGCTCAACTGACCGAGCCACCCAGGCGCCCCCAAAATATCATCTTTTACCAACAGGAGTTTTACTATTGATCAGGGATCTAGGACAAATAGAAATAGGTAAGCCCACCTGCTTTACTACCCATCCTTCCAAAAGCTGTAAGCGGATTATGAATGAATTAAAATGAATGAATTACAGCAAGGCCAGAAATAAACATGGGTATTTTTACTTTTATTAAATAAAATGCCTGGGTGGCTCAGTCGGTTGAGCGTCCGACTCCGGCTCAGGTCATGATCTCATCATTTGTGAGTTCGAGCCCCGCATCAGGCTCTGTGCTGACAGCTCGGAGCCTGGAGCCTGTTTCAGATTCTGGGTCTTCCTCTCTCTCTGCCCCTCCCCCGCTTGTGCTCTGTTTTTCTCTCTCTCTCTCTCCCCAAAATAAACATTAAAAAAAAATTTTTTTTATATAAAGTCCCACATTAGAATCTACTAGTGTTAAGTAGTAGATTTTTTTATATAAAGTCCCACATTAGAATCTATTTGTGTTAAGAAGGACTCCAAACAGGGGTCTATGAGAACTATTTGTTCGGGTGACACGGTTGGTTACGCGGATGTGTTATAAGGACAAAAAAACTAGTCTGTAGTGTCTTAGAGAGATGGGTAGCTAGCAGACCACCGGGTACAGACAACGTGGAACATAAAGAGCTTTTCCAAAAGGTCTTATTTCCTCAGAGCTCTTCTCCTCTCTTTAGTTACATCCCAGCCCCGACGTCTTTCCGCTGACGCTATTTCTACAGGGGTGAGGACTCACCACTTCACATCGTCGTTGTGGCCGGCGTAGTGCCTCTGGAGCTGTTCCTCGACGTTGTACAGCACCACCACGGAGGCGATGAAGTACACCGTCTCCCCCGTTGGAAGCAAGTACAGGTTGTTACGACAGTCGCGACCCCGGTACCCATAGCTTTGTGTACGTCAAGATAAACCTGATTTCCTTTAAGAGTCAAGACGCTCAACTGACTGAGCCACCCAGGCAACCAGCCCAGTTTTAAACTACCTTTACTCTGTTGGAAAGATTAAAATTCAAGCCAGAAAGAAAGTGATGCGTTTTCTCACGGCTCTTTAAAAACGAACAGACAAACAAACAAACAAAACCCCAACCATCCAGCCAATCCTATGAACCTTAATATTTTCTTGTCGGGAAATAAATGCATATGTATTTGAGCAAGAACCACCATCTTTCATTCAGGAATGATAGGTCAGTGTCGCCCTAGCCAGCAGCACTCACGGAGCCTATTTGCAAGGACACCGTACGGGGTTCTCACATATGGCCCATTTTGTTAAATCAAAAAAAAAAAAAAAAAAAAAATTTCAGTGTGGATAGACTATTTGGCCTAATCGGTGAATAAAGGATACACCCATTCCAGTTTCAGTCTCTTGGTGGGAAGCTCTACCTTTGCTTCCAAATTATAAGAGTCCACTTGATCTCTGGGCAGGTACATGGTAACAGGGCGTCCGCGAAGAAACATTTTTACGTATCCTTCTTCTACAACAAGAACAAAGACATCAGTTAAGACGCCTCTGGGCCCGGTGGATCTGAAAACAAATGTCTATTTTCTTTCTCCTCTTAATGTCCCAGGAAAGGGTCTAGCTACTCTTCACGTGATTTCTAATTAACGTGTTGGGGGTGGGGTTGGGGGGGGAATAACGGAAACCTGAAGTCGCACCATTGAAAACCAAAGTTTTCACCCTGTTTACGTTGGACGTGCTGCTGCCTCAAGTACGTGAAATACGTGAGAAATTGTAAAAGAGAGGGAAGAGCTAGATTCCATTGTTTTTCCACGAGAGACTCAGTGTTTACACTTGTCTTCGCCATCGGCAGGGGAGGGAAATGCCACCTCGCAAAATTACAACCAATGCAAAAAATCCACTTAGAGTTGTCAGTGATTTCCATGTATATACAATTCCAGTAGCGAAATTCATAAGGCATCTTTCGACACTTAGATCATTGTGTTATATCGCAATGTAAAAATATACCTTTATGTATCTTATCTGCTGGACACATTTTTCGAGTATAAAGAACACAAAATCAGCAAGAGTGCATGCTGGGGTACACACAAGAAGGAAAATGCTCAAAGATAAGCTTGAAAGAAAACGGAAGGACTAAAGACCCATTAGGGGGAGATGCTGAGAAACAGAAGCTTCTAGAACAAGCATTTTTATAATAAAATAACTTCTGACGTCTCAAGAAGTCATTACGGGGGCAAAAGTAAAACCCAGTAATCCATCAACCTGGGACACGTGCAGTTTTAAAAAAGAAACAAGGTGGGGGTTTCCGCTCGCTTTCAGGATATAGTAAGACCAAGGAAAATGTCCTGTGAGTTCCTGACGAATTCGGTTAGAACTCACTGCCGATCCCAGGACCAGGCCTCCACGGCATTTAAACTGGGTCGCTCCAGCCATAGCGGCACATTAACTCGAGAGAAGAAACATCGGCGGAGGGGACATCGGTGAGGAAAAGTCACGAAATAACTATGGTGCCGTGAGCACCACATTTACAAGTTACTTTTGTAAATCTTGCTCCTAAGGACCCTCAAATGCTGCATGCGAGCCCCCCCGCACACTAAGAGGCCGTCCCAGTTTTATGTTAGTGCACACGTGCATGTCAGGCCTCACATGCGTGTGATGCATTCTCCACGCCACGTATTAAGTCTGACTTTTAAGTAAGGGGCAATACACGCTCAGCCTGCAGACGGCGTGCCAGGCGCTCTGTTCCGTGGGCGCTCCATGAGGATGCCGCCACAGGGTCCGTCCTCCCCAGATCTGCCGGGACCAGCCGAGCAGAGGTCCTGGTACCCGAGGCTGTCTTGTCACTGCCCCACCCCGGGCATTTTATATTCTGCAGCCAAACCCGTCGAGGCCCCAAGTGGATTCCACCAAGTCCTTTCTCCACGCAATGTCCTTTGCCCGCCCTCTTACCTGCTGGATCCAAACGTCTAGCATCCTGCCTGCTCTCCCCTAAGTGGCCGCACCGGCCTTGAGCGCCCCACCTGGACCCTCCTGTCTGGCCGGAAGTGTCTCCACCGCCCTACACGTCTACCCAGCTCTGGGCCCCTGCTCCTCCCCTCGCCCCAAAGCTCTTCTCTTCTTTAGTCCCTCCCCCTAATCTGGGCTCATCGGACGGTGTGGCCGCCACACCGGCAGGACCTAGGAGCGCCCGGCAGAGGACAGAAGGGAGAAGAAAGCAGATGCCAGCAAAGCACAGAGCTGAGGACAAGCGGTTCCCTCAACTGTCTTTGTACGCGAGGAGGCACAGAACGTGGATGGGTAACAAAGAGGCTATGACGCCATCTCCGCAGCACGGCAGAGCCCTCCGTGGCTGTAATAATCAGTGCGTGTGAAACACTGAGCGCACCGTAGCCGCGTGCTGGTTAAATCCTCGGGACCGAGGCTTACTTATCGCACGATGCTAAACCACTAAACGAGGCCCCCCCAAAAGCCCTGAATTTTGCCTTGGCATTGCTTTGCCCTGGCAATTTGGGCGTTCTATGTCTAAGATCGAAACACAGCCAGGGAAGGCAATGGAAGTTTCCAGGCAGGTTAGGACCACAGCACGCAGCCGCCCACCGGAAGGTGCGGAGCGAGAGGCCAGCCACAGCGGCACAGGACGCCAGGCCAAACAGCGGGACATCCAGGGCCGCCCTATAGCTGTCTTAGGGTTTCTACGAATCCTTCAGAGTTCCTGCAAAACCAGCTGGTAACCAAGCCAGATCGAATGTACAGCTACTTATCAAAACCCATCCAAGTAAAGGCGCAGGACTGCTGTTTAACTTCAGGTGCAGTGGCTTGTGTGATGGACACGTTTTCGTACGAGGAGAGTATCTGCTTGGCCGTACGGAAAAGGGTTCGGCAGCCTGGGTAGCAGCTTTGTTGAGAGAGCTGTGAGATTTCAGAAATGCCGCCTACCTTTGCAGTGTATCACCCGGCGTTTCCCTTGTGATTTCGGAGACAGGGACAGAAGCGCTAGATGAAGAGATAGCGAGAACTGCAGGAGGGACCTGGGGCAGCTAGCTCTTGGGGGGGGGTGGCCCCCCGCCCCTGCAGAGGAGCCTGTGGGGGGCTCAGGACCTGGCTCCACAGGCATAGGGCGATTATAGTTTTCAGCGCGTGATTTCATGCTTCCCGAACAGGAAACGAATACTAAATAAAGCACATGCCGCTACCTACAGGGGGCTGACTTTTACATCAGTTCCAGTTCCGAATCGAAGGGGGGAAAACCCAAAGTTAAAATGAGACGGGTTTGTTTAACGGGTGACATACCCGTCAACGATTTTGCATTTTCGATGTGCTTTTGAAGAAGGTGAATATCCTAACAATAGCATGTACCTTATTATAAAATGGGTTAACAAAAACAAAAAAGAAAAGGTAAATGGAAAGGTACATCATGAACTATTAGTTTGCAGTTTAGGAGACTGAAGGCAGAAAGAGAGAGTAAAAAAAAAAAAAAAAGCTCCTTTTGGACAAAGTGATCACTTAACGCATCAGAGAGCTTTCCTATCAGAGGTGTTGCCTCGGGAGCCCCAGGGGAGAGGGAGGAACAAGAAAGGCCACACACGATCTTCAATCTAGAAGTTCGCCTTTCACACGTGTGGTGGCGTCTCACTCTTCCTCCTTGTTGACACATCTTGAATCGGTCTTCAAGGGGGTAAGGGAAAGGGTCTAGTCTTTGCGACCAAGTTACGGGCTGTGCCTGGGATCTGAGCCCCGACCCGTGGGCACGGGCTTCCTGGGCCTCAGCCTGTCAGCCCCGCCACGCAGACTCCGCATGTGACAAGTGGCCCCCGGAACCGCTCCGCGTGCGTCCCCCAAGTCCTGAGGGGACCGAGGGGCACGCGCACAAAAGTTGAACGGGACTTACCTGCGCTGAAGACGGGCTCCTTGGGTTTGCTGCGGAGACAAAACGGAAACAGGGTTTAGAGGGAGGCTGGTGTGGCCGGTGCTTAACCTCATTCGTGAAAGACCCCCCGGCTCACCGGTGGCAGCACAGGCCGGTCACACTGACGCTGTGCCGGTGATTCTCGCTAACGAGAGAAACAAAACCACGCAACTGCAGAGAGGGACAAATGTACGTGAGAACGTCTAAAACCAGGTGCAAGAGATTGTGACCCCCGCTTTGCCACCACAACTGAGCTGTTTATGAGAGCAGGTAAGTGTCTGCGGCAGGAAAACATGCTTGGTCGGGATGCGAACGGCCACGTCTACACACGCAAAGGTTTGCTCTTCTCACGGATGATTGAAAGCACTTATTTAAAACCAGAAAGTTCCTGACGTAGGACTTGCTGACACACCCAGCTCCTGGCAGGGTAGCTACTGTGAGAAGGAAAAGAGGGAAAACATAAGGAATATCGGGGCCGTGGCCATCTCATCAGTGTTGTGGGGGCCCCACCGCGGATTTCTGCCGGGCTGGGACCACCCCACGACTGCACCCGGGAAACCGAATCCCCAGAGCATTCAAGGTCACGCCGCCGACGGACTAGGGACAGCCCCAGGGGCAGGCTTCCCCGGGATGAGCTGGCATGAGCAGCAGAGCATGCGACCACTTCCCAGGACAAGCACCTGCCGGAAGAGGTCACCACCTGCCTGCCAGACAAGGGAAGGGACCCTCAGGCAGGGCAGGAAGTGTCTCCCGTTCAAACCCAGGTCTGCGAGACTCCGGTGTCTACACCATCTGCCCCGTATACCCTGCTTCCTGGATTTGCCTCCTGCTTTAAGACATGGAACAAGACCGACCACGTAAACGAAACCCGCCCCCGAGAGAGCCACAGAGGCACACAGGTTGGTGTGTGTGCGTAGTTTCCAAAAAGTACCTGAGCAGATATAGTCCCGATGTTACATTTCTCCTCCAGTTTTTTCTTGAAATACATTGAGAAACACCACCAGTAAGAATCAGCCTTAACCCCAGCATATAATAAATAATATTATCAATACGTTGGACTTCCAGATAATTTGATGCCGTACCAGGGGGTAAACTCCTGACCGATGCTTTGGAAGTGCTTGGCAATCTGTTCAAGTGTGCTTTACGTAGCTGGGGCTGTTGCGGGCTTAGTTTTCGGGACTCTCGCCTTTGGTCATTGAAAACTACTCTGAGAGGGGTGCCTGGGGGGCTCAGTCGGTTAAGCGTCTGACTCTTGATTTCAGCTCAGGTCACAATCTCACAGTTCGTGAGTTCGAGCCGTATGTCGGGCTCTGCGCGGACAGCGTGGAGCCTGCCTGGGATTCTCTCTCTCCCTCTCCGCCCCTCCCATGCATATTCTCTCTCTTTCTCTCTCTCTCTCTCTCTCTCTCTC